TCTTGCTTTGATCCATTAATTGACTACGTGGTGACGTTAATTGCGTTTAAAAGTGTCTAAGCATGGTTCCGGGTTCCACGAAGGTTCCCGGGACAAATATTTGATAAAAGAGTCAGTGGGGGGTAGGTGGGGGTAGGGGAACCCGCCACCTACCCGCTGCCCGAAGTACACCGCCCAGCAGCGGGTAGCCACCGGGCAGCCGCCTGCCCGCCAGAGACCCGCTGCCCAGAACAGTGTACTCCGGCGGGCAGCCGGCGGGTGGCCCTCCACCCACCGGCTACCCGCTGGTCCGTACCCCACCCCGGGTCTTTGGCTTCCCCGTTTGATGTTCCCCCGCTCCCCATGGTGTCCCAACGGTCCCCGTTTGTCGTGCTTAAGTCTAGTTTGTTGTTTCGGGTACCATTCGTAGGTTAGATGAGTGTTAGGGATTGCATGCTAGTTGAATTGGTAACCCGTTGGCCTAGGTGGAAGTTGTATGAACCCCTAGGACTATTCTTAGTATGTGAATGATCACACGTAAGTTTATTTATAGGTCTTTCCCCTTCCAATATGCTATTACGTGCTCCTAGGTGTTATGTGTTGCATGATCCCCCATTTTGGCTATAGGCCAATTGGGTGGTTCCCGGACTAAGGTTCAGAAGTCGGCTGAAGGCCGAATGGATATCTACTTAACTGTTTATCATTGTTTGATATGTTTGTCCCTACTTGCTGAGTCTATTCCCGGTTTTAAAACTAGTGTCTCTTAAGTATATATCTTCCTGCTTCAAAATGATTTTCGTATATCTATATATATCTATCTATAATGTATTTCAACGCGTTAGAGTGGGTTATCAGCATCTCTCGCTGAACAGATATATTTGGCTTTCAGGCACAAATGAGTAGACACTGGAGCGCGCTAGAGATTTGGAGCATAGAGTAGCTAGTTTCCCTTTCGGCCTGCGTGCCATACTTATGTATTGACATCATTGAGGATTTTAGCTAGTTAGCCTGTGCACCTGGGTTCTCTAGCTCAGGTGTGGCATAGCACCCCATACTCTTATGTTATATTTCGGGATTTAATGAGGATTTACCTTTATTATATAAGTTTTAAAAGTTCTAAAATTTCGGGGTGTTACAGTTGGTATCAGAGCCTAAGTTTGACCCTAGGATAAGACTCTTAAGAACAGACTTTAGGACATTATACTTGAACTCTAGGAATCTATGAACATAGGACTCAGAGATCTTAGGACGCGCGGTGAGATTGAGAAACCTACACATGACCTCCCCTCACATTACCCCTCCTTAATTTAAAGAAACCCCCTTCGCTTATCACGCCGAGGTAGGGTGCAACCCTCTAAACCACTATAAACATAGACTCTATAGATCAAGCAACATGGCACCAAACAGAAGACAATCAAGGACTCCGGAACCCACCACACACGACCCCCTGGCTCAAACCCTACAGCAACTCACTCAGGTCACCCAAGCACTAAGCGACGTAGCCCTCCGCAACAACAGGCCACGACTCCCTCCACCGAACGCAAACTCAGAAGTCGCCCGACAAGTTTCAAACCATCGACCACCCACGTTCTTAGGAGAAGAAGATCCTGCCATCCTCGAAGAATGGATACGGACCTTCGACAAGATTCTGGGGTTGGTAGAATGCCCAGAAGAACATCGTGTAGAGATAGCCTCGTTCTACTTCGGACACGAGGCAGACCTTTGGTGGATCCACGAGGGACCCACTTACAGGCAAGAACCAGGATTCGACTGGGGAAAACCTGAAAACACGCCTGCGAGAACGATTATACCCGACACACGTAAAAGCTGCTATGCACGAAGAGTTCCTCCACCTAAAACAAGGAACGGCTACCATCACAGAATACCATAAACGATTCCTCAAACTAGCACGCTTCACGCCAGAGTTAGTCCCCACAGAATCAACAAAAATAGAAAGGTTTGTATCGGGCCTTAACTTTGAAGCTCGGAAAGCACTAATAGTAAGCGGACCCCGGACCCTCAACGAGACTTACTCCAGTGCTGCCAACCTCTACCGGATCCAACTACTACAACGTGGGGTTCAAGATCAGATTCGAAAAAAGAACAAAGGAGGAGGTGCACCACCAATAAAGAGAACGAGAACCGACACCAACACAAGGCCAAACAACCCAACTGAACAAAGACCACCCCCAAGAAACAACGAAGCCAATACAGGGGGCTTCCCTTGCCCAAAATGCAACCAAAGCCATAGAGGCAGGGACTGCATGGGGAATCCCTTGCGGTGCTTCAACTGTGGAAAAGAAGGACACAAGTCCTTCCACTGCATACAACCCTCAAGCTCACGCCCCATGAACATGGGCCAACACGGAGGCACAAGCAACCAAGGGAATCACGGTGCCCCCGGAAAAGTATTCATCATAAGCCACACACAAGCCGAGCTCGGAAACGAGGGCAACCTCAACGAAGAAAACATGACCCCAGAAGACGAGGATCACGCGAATCCACCAGAGGAAAACCAAGAAGATGAATTCTGTTTAGGATAAGCTAAGAAACCCCTTGTAACCACCCTTATAGTAAAACTACTCGTTTAGTCTAGCCACTTCGAAATTATTTTAAATAAGATCGAAATATTTTAGCATAAATAGGGGAAAACTAAACAACGAACAACCACAAGGAGGACCAATCAAATTCCCTACCACTAGAAGACAAAAAGAAAGAAAAAGACAAGGAACACACAACAAAGAAGGCTAATGCTAGTTATTTAATGCTATCAATAAGAATGGAACCTTAGACCTCTCACTTATTATACTAATGCTTTAACCACTAGGCTATCTTAAGGGAACACTCCCTTCTTAAATCCCTCCAAGTCCCTAAAACCCACAAAAAATCCCAAATCAAAAACCCTTCTTCTTCTTCCCCACACACCCCCTCTCTCTCTCCATCCCCCTCACCTCTCCGCCGACTAACACACACACACCCGACGCTACCCAACACCCCGCCAAGCCACCGCCACTAATCGAACCACCAACAGTCACCCCGGCGTCGCCCACCGTGCACCGCCATCACCGCCCCGGAAGCAGCCCGCGATGCCACCACCGCCCGTCGCTTGCCCGGACGACGCCCACTGCCAACGCACACCGCTGCCAACCCCGGCACCGCCCAGGACCACCGCTACCTCGACGAGCCACGCCACCCCGCCGCCCCTCACTGCAGCCGGAAAACCCGCGTCGCCGGAGAAGTAGCTCCGCCGGAACCCTCGCCGGACGTCCGCCGGAAAACACCACATAGAAGAAAAGTTCGAGAAAATGCCGAAAAAGCCCCTCGGAATCCGAACCCCGGATTGGGACAACGCTGGCTACACCGTTATCGGAGGTAAAGCCCTCGAACCCGATCAATTCTTTCCGGAATTGGTCGACATGCTCAACCACCAAGGGCTTTTGGATACTTATCTCACCATTAAAGGGGATACGTACCCCGAATTGGTGAAGGAGTTCTATCAACACTTGATGGCCATCAAACGAGGTGATAAACTAGAAATCACCACTAAGGTCCGAGGCAAGGAAATCATACTTTCCGAAGGCCGTTTGGCCAAACTCTTAAGATTGACCACCACGGGTGTGTCAGACTACGACCGTAAAGGGTGGATTGGTACCCAAAATACGGGGTACAAGGATTACCTCAGGTACCTACTCGGAAAGGAGGAAGGTTTCACCTCGGCCACACGGCCAAATAGGAAGTGGCTAGCCGCGGAGCAAAAGATATTGGTTATGGTTATGATTGTGACTGATAGCCTTTTGCCCACAAATAAAAAAAGCAAGGATGTGGGGAGTTTGGAGTGTACTTTTGCCTATCTCTTAAAGCACAAAATCAAGTTCAATCTACCGGCCCTCATGTTGAAACACATGGAGTTTTGCAAAACTAGCAACCGGCTTAGCCTACCGTACAGGATGATCCTAAGTTGGATCATGGAGAAAAAGGGGGTGGATCTGAGCCACACTGAGGTCAAAACCGCAAGTGGCATGGTTTTTAATGCTCAGAACCTCCATCGCAATGATATCTACTACACCGAAGGGGGACGGTACATCACCCTCGAAGAGATTTGCCTTAAACCCGAGGGGGAACAAAGGGAATTGGTGGATCAGTTGAATATCTCCAACAAGAAACTCAAGCGGGCAATGCAAGACTGTGGGGAACTGGGGGAAAATGAGGAACAAGAAGAAGATAGCGAGCTGAACCCACTGGCGCTTGCACAAGCAAGAGGAAACCCAAGGGGCCAAAATGAAGAATCCGTAAACGAACGCATCCTCGCGCAGCTCACCCGACAGAACTAGATCATAGACGAGGGATTCTCGTCCCTAATCCGCGCAACACTCGATTTGGATCAAAGGATGGCAACTATCGAGGCCATGTTGGGCACCCACGGGGCATCCAGCTCAGGAGTAGGAAACCAAGGTAGACCCGAACCCTCCAAAACAACCACCGCACCAAAGATCCAGTCTACCCCGACGAAGACAGCACGTGGAGCCACATCTCCTAACCAGGAGGCCGAAATAGGTGACGTCTAGGGGTGAAAGAGTGGATCCACGCACCGGCTTCAGGGACGAAGCCTCTTGTAAGGGGGGGAGTGTGTAACACCCCGTGTTACAACCCCTAACACTAACTAAATATTTAATCACTTACCCAAAAAAAAAAAGAGAATTAAAAACCCATTAATCAACTAAGAAAGGTCCACCATAGTCCATGGGCCCACATCCCTATAACCAACTCCTTAGTCCTATAAGGAATAGAATTAGCAAGCCCATAGTATTTAGACCCCAATTAGGACTCTTAGGAATATATATATATATATATATATATATATATATATATATATATATATATATATATATATATATATATATATATATATATATATATATATATATATATATATATATATATATATATATATATATATATATATAGGGTCATAGGAGGCACCTAGATCTTACACCACAATAATCTCTCACCACACTAAGAAGTTCCAAGAATCCCCTTAGGAGAAATCAAGAAAGAAGAAAGCTTAAAGAAAGACCCTTCATAGCCAAGGAAATTAATTAAGGCTAAGAGGTAACCCATGTCTCAACAAAACCTATTTTCTTCGCTGTGATCTCCTTCCTTGGCCTCCTCCTATATGCTTGTGTCTTGATTAATTCCCCTATGCTATTTGTGATATATTCTTGATGATTGATAAGATGATTTATGTGTATTCTTGATAATCTTGATGATCTTGATGTTGAAAAGAAGTTCTTGATTTTGATATGATGATTCTTGACGAATCTTGATATTCCTTGATGTTGAAGATAAAATATGATTTTGATAATTTGGGTGGGATTAGAGCCCTAGGTTGGATTGGGAATTTGTGGGGATGTTCTTGTTATATATTTGGGTGGGAATTCGCATGTTCGGGTGTTGTTTATGTTTAGAAGTCGTGATAGGAAGAGTTATACGTGATTCTTGCTTTGATCCATTAATTGACTACGTGGTGTCGTTAATTGCGTTTAAAAGTGTCTAGGCATGGTTCCGGGTTCCACGAAGGTTCCCGGGACAAATATTTGATAAAAGAGTTAGTGGGGGGTAGGGGAACCCGCCACCTACCCTCTGCCCGAAGTACACCGCACAGCAGCGGGTAGCCACCGGGCAGCCGCCTGCCCGCCGGAGACCCGCTGCCCAGAACAGTGTACTCCGGCGGGCAGCCGGCGGGTGGCCCTCCACCCACCGGCTACCCGCTGGTCCGTACCCTACCCCGGGTCTTTGGCTTCCCCGTTTGATGTTCCCCCGCTCCCCATGGTGTCCCAACGGACCCCGTCTGTCGTGCTTAAGTCTAGTTTGATGTTTCGGGTACCATTCGTAGGTTAGATGAGTCTTAGGGATTGCATGCTAGTTGAATTGGTAACTCGTTGGCCTTGGTGGAAGTTGTATGAACCCCTAGGACTATTCTTAGTATGTGAATGATCACACGTAAGTTTATTTATATGTCTTTCCCCGCCCAATATGCTATTACGTGCTCTTAGGTGTTATGTGTTGCATGATCCCCCATTTTGGCTATAGGCCAATTCGGTGGTTCCCGGACTAAGTTTTGGAAGTCGGCTGAAGGCCGATTGGATTGTTCCCGGACTAAGGTTCTGAAGTCGGTTGAAGATCGAATGGATTGTTCCCGGACTAAAGGTTCGGAAGTGGCTAAAGGCCAAATGGATTGTTCCTGAGCTAAGGCTCAGAAGTGGCTAAGGCCAAATTGATTTACTTCTTGGACTACAGGTCCAACTATGGGCCTCGGTGCTATGACCCACTGACCTGAACGCGCCAGGCGGTGTGTAGGGCCAATAAGCCGAGGAAGGCTGTAGTCCACCGACCTGAGTAATCAGGCGGTGTGTAGGGCTACGGCTGGCTGCGATCCACCGAATGATGGGACAACGGTGTGTAGGGCCATAGTCTCTGAGGATCTTCGCCCACCGACTGAGTATAGCTCAGCAGTAAGCCGGGCTTGATCCGCTGGTCCACCGACTGTGCGCATCAGCGGTGTGTAGGGTCGTAAGTCCCCCTTGTAAAGGGGATCGCGGTTCACCGACTGGGTGCGTCACCGGTGAGCCGGATCGTGGTCCGACGTTGAGTTCATCAGCGGTTCTCAAAGGGTTGGTTGTGATCAACTCCCCTCATACCACGGTACTGAGGTAGGGTGCTGCGGGGCCGTGTTAAGGCTATAAGCATTTACCCTCATGTTCGGGGCATGCGATTGGTCCCGTGGCGCCATCAATGATAATGTGATATGATTGATGATTGAATGATGATGTGTTTGAATTGAAAAGGGATCTATGACCTTAGTTATGTATTCCTTATGATGTCATCTCTACTTAACTGTTTATCATTGTTTGATATGTTTGTCCCTAGTTGCTGAGTCTTTTCCCGGTTTTAAAACTAGTGTCTCTTAAGTATATATCTTCCTACTTCAAAATGATTTTCGTATATCTATATATATCTATCTATAATGTATTTCAACGCATTGGAGTGGGTTACCAGCATCTCTCGCTGAACATATATATTTGGCTTTCAGGCACAGATGAGTAGACACTGGAGCGCGCTAGAGATTTGGAGCATAGAGTAGCTAGTTTCCCTTTCGGCCTGCGTGCCATACTTATGTATTGACATCATTGAGGATTTTAGCTAGTTAGCCTGTGCACCTGGGTTCTCTAGCTCAGGTGTGGCATAGCACCCCATACTCTTATGTTATATTTCGGGATTTAATGAGGATTTACCTTTATTATATAAGTTTTAAAAGTTCCAAAATTTCGAGGTGTTACAAATACTTAGCAAGTACTGATCATACTCTTTAAGCTCAAAATATACTTCAAATTCTAGCAAAATCTTTTTACTGAAAACTAGGAATTTCATGTACTGGACTTATCAAATTCTCACAGCCTTTACAAAACTTCTCAATAAATAACAATTCAATAAATACTTTGATATGCTTTTCAATCAAAACCATCAAATAATAAACATGCTTCTTTGCTCAAATATCTAAGCTCAAATACTTCTATTTTTCTTCACTGTAAACCATTTGCAGAAAACAACAAGAATAATTATCAACACAACTTCTACTGGAAAACAAGCATTTCAACTCTGAATTCAACGAAACTAACTTCTACTAGTGCGTCGTAACGAACCCGAGTGTCTGAGCCTCAAGGGCCCACGAGTCCCGGTCCGAACGACACATAGCTGAGCCACAGAGGGCCCGGCCAGGAACCATTTTGGCCTGGCGGAGCTTGGTAGCGGGGCTTGACAAGCCTCGCCACTTGGCTCCGCCAAGTGGCAGCCCTGGGCGGCGGATCATGCTATGATCCGTCTGTAACACCCCCGATTTTTACCACATTTTTAAACATAAATGCACAGGAAAACATCTAATCATCAAGAAATAAAGCAACGGAAGCCATATAAAATCGGGACATGTTATGCCACACCTATCTTAAACATAGGTGCACATGCGGGAAAATCTATCAAGTCAAACAAATCATAAAGTGTCAAGGCACACAGGCCGCTAACTAGGCTCACAGGCCAACAAAACATAACGTCTACATAGGACAGCTAATCTATCTAGCGATCCACGTCTAGCGCTCTCAGACATCTACTCAAAACCTGTAGAACAAGGGAAATAACATGGGGATAACACCTGGTCAGCGATATTACTGTAACCCATTAATACGCGTTACATAGCATATATAGATAAGTATAAATCAAAACCATTTTGAAACAGAATACAGTATATAGCATTTCAAAACCATAGAGAAAAGTCAACTTCAAAGACTGACCAAACACTCTCAAAGAAATGGGAATTACCATCCTCACAACAACGACAAGACAATAATCATGAAAGACAAACAGCTCAGGATGCATTCTACTGATCACAAAGTAGTTTACATCAAGACATGCTCATAAGCAAGGAATTCACATTCACACAGTGGCAACTACATGCCACAGTGACAACTACATGTCACAAGTATCATAGTTCCAACCTTATGCCCTGTTCCAACCTTATGGCTACCCCCAGCCTTATTTCAGTTCCAACCATTACCTCCAAGTAACCCCTGTACTTCTGAGTCCAACCTTATGCATTTGGGGACCGTCGTCCCCCCACCTACATCCACCCACATTCCACCTACATTTCAATACAAGAGGGTACTATTCATTTCATTCACACAACCACCTACATGTGAGCGAAGCTCAAGTAACAACCACCCACATTCAAATCATAGTCACACAAGGTCATCATCATTACCAAGAAGACTAAGGCTCAACAATAGCCTCAATCAAGTATCAACAAAGGGTACAACGATTTACATACGATCACATCATAGGAATCAATCAAAAGATAACAATAAAGATAAGAGACCATACCCATTCAACAAAAGGATTACCATCCAACACCAAATGATTGTCAACCCAAGTTGCCAATCTCATTACGAAGGAACAAACCACACACACTAGCATATCAACATCAAACTAGCATGCTTATCAAACGGGTAAACCAAAATTAGTTCCAAAGAACATTCAAGACTCACATTAGCCCAATGAATCACAAAGTTGGACCCTTAGCACGATTCAAGACACCAAATCCTATCATGGATTCCTAATACACCATTCTAGACATACGAAACATCAAGAAGACTCACAAATAGCCCAATAAAACAACATCGGGAGGTCAAAACTTCAATACCGAGACAAAAGAATCACGGGGAACAAATCCCCGCCTAACGCCACAAGTGTTCCCCGCGGGTGGGGCCACGGGTAGGCCCCCACCCGTGGGCCTGCCCGCGGGGTACATACCCTCAGCACACCGGTTCCCCGCGGGTGGGGCGGTGGGTAGGCCACTGCCCGCCGTTTTGCCCGCGGGTACGTCCCTGTACACCAAATTATCCCTTCGGGGATTTTCAACAATAAGGCCAAGTTCAAGTTTAAAACACCCAAAATCTCACACACAACAACAATATGACTTGAACCCAATAAATAGCCAAGCAATGGTATTCAAGAACCCTAAGAACAAGCTCTAAACATGCATCACCACAAGACAATGCATCAAATCTCACAAATCAACACAAGAATAACAAGTGGAAGCCAAGAATCATCATATAAGTAAGAAATTAGGTTTTGTAAAGCATGGGTTACCTTTGTAGCCTAATAACTTCCTCTTTTCACCCTTAGAAAGCCTTTCCTAGAGCTCCTCTTCCACACCAACTTCATACACAAACCAAAACACAACAAAGATCCTATCTTTAGAAAAAAAAAAACACCTAAAAGAAGGTTAAAAACACCAAAAGACCAAGGATCTTACCCTCCCCTATGCTCAAGATGAAGAAAGTATGAATCTTGGGAGACAAACTTGCAAGACTTGGATGCTCAAATTCTAGCTTGGAGAAGAAGCTAAACCATTTTAGAGAGAGGCTAGAGGTTTTTGTGTTTAGATTGAAGGGTGAATGAAATGAAAGAATATTGCTATGTTAGC